AAACTTTTTTCGGAGTGACTTTTACTCTTTACTTAATGGAATATCGACGGTGTAAGTCGGCAATCACATAACTCGGTTTGCGACGTCGCAGACTTCTTGTCATACTTTATTTTTTAAATGGAAAACTACTCAACGGCAATTCTTTAAAACTGTCATGATTTTTCTTCTCAATTCGAAGAAAATTCTGCAAAAACTTCAAGAAATAATGTTAATTTGTTCTCTCTTAAAAAAATGACGTATAGGCGGAGATTTTCAGACACCGCAAACGAGTTATGTGATTGCCGACTTTCACCGTCGATATACCCTTTCTGGGAAGTCCCCTACATACCCTTTTGAGCGGATTCTACTTTGCATTTACACTGATTAGGTTCTTTTGGCACTATATACACTCCAGAATGAGTCCTACACCGCATTTGTCTCCTCATTTTTTATAAGTGTGTTCTAGGCATGCGAACGACAGCTTCAGATTTAATTATTGCCAAAAACACACAGTAAGTAACTCAATCTCTAAAAATACAACTATATCGACGCGTAGGATCTACTATTGCCTACTCGTGCAAATGAAGGAAAACCGTGATGTGTTGCTCATTTAAAACTCCTTTTGCAGCGTCGCGGGCCTTCATTTTATTTAATTAGGCATGAGCAGCTACTTCATAAGTCAAAATAGTCCACAAGTTCATCAAAGAGAACATTTTTAGGTTTACTACACTTTTTGCGGTTTAGCTAATCCAAGAGCATTTCCAACCAACTACTGTTTCTACTACTGTGGAATATACTTGACATGCCGGCCGCGAGTTATACCCTCAGATCGAGTTACTTTCCAGTGTCGCCGAATACAGTGTAAAAATCTCTCCCACTGCACATCCTTTCCGTGAGAATATGCATGAATGGCTGCTGCAGGGAGATGGACCTCAGTTTACGGAGATTAAATTAAGTCAGCATTTTTGTCAATTTTGGTATAAAAATCGGGTACTTGAGTTTTTGATGAAAACGCTGAATAGGACCCTAAAGAATAGTTGGACACGGTTTAGTTCATTTTTTGGTGAATAAAATGCGTACATTTGTTTTACTATTCCTACAGTTATAAATTCAAAACATTACTGGTTAAAAGTTAAGCAGCCCTTCTTAAAGAAAAAGGTTTTTGAAAATGTGCAACCTTTAACTGTCATAATTTACACAATATGTGTATTTGACACAATGTCAAATACACATTATGAAAATTTAATTAGTATCTTCACCTTGAACCCTCTTGTAGTTCATCAGAATGCGAAAATGCATAAAGTTTCTTTACAGCCTTTCCATTCAATAAACCTCCTTTCTCCCACAAATTTTCAAAATGATGACCATTTTTTGCTTTTTATCAACAGACAGCAATAGTTTTATGCCAGACCTGCAATTTTCACCTCCAATATGAAAAAAAAAAGTTCATACGCTGTTACGCGCTGTTTCCACTTCAAACAGCCTTTTAATTTTTTAAGGGACCACGGTTACTTGGTCGAAAGGTCTCTGAGCCCCCAATGTAAAGGAACCTCCCTTTGTTTCTTGTCTCAGAAACGACGTATGTCTCATCCTGTTTCCTATGTAAAAACTTCATTTTCTAGACGGAGGAATGAATCTCCATTCCAAAGTCGCGAGCGACATTACCATTATAACAACACTATGACTGTACAGTGTAAATTTCTTTCGAAAATGTATTCACTTTCTGCGTATGATCGAAGAAAAACTGTGAAATTTTCAGCCAGGAACCCTTGACAGCTACCTAGGAAAAATACAATCTGCGGGTGGAAATTTCACTATGTTGATATGCTGACGTGCTGTCATTGCTGACTCATGGCCGACAGCGCATTGCAAACAAGCCTCTTCGAGGATTAAAATTTTGAAACTGAGAAACACTGGAAAAAAACACATTGAATCTAGAGTTCAGACTCTTGAAAACATTGACAAGAAAAAATACTCTTAATTCAATCGGATTTTTGCTTGAATCAAAACGAAATCCGCTTAAATTAAGAGGCTTGATTCTTGATTTAAGCTAGATTCTGATTGAATCAAGAGTACTTTTTCTTGTCGATGTTTTTAAGAGTCTGGACTCTAGATCCAATGTGTTTTTTTTTTCCAGTGAAATGTAAGCGAAATCAAAATTGTATACGTTATTTTATAATATTTGATCGGTGTAAATAGTTGACATACACTGAAAAAAAAGTATGGTAACATCTACTATAAGTCTACTTGATTTTTTACACAGTGATACCATTTAGTGAAAATAACCAGAATTATGGTAGTATTCATCAGAATTCTGTTGATACTTACCATAGAATAGTAAATACTACCATAGAGTCCAGTATTTATTACCATACTGGTTTCACTGTGTCCGAGTTTGGTAAAGTCTACTATATTTTTTTTCAGTGTATGAAAGTTAGTACCACCGGATAATTCGAGCTCATAGGTTGCTCCCTTTTCGGGCCCCGAGAGCTACATGACCTGATACATCCTAACCTCCAAATTTTCGAGTTGTCCATACTCACCCTATAAAGGTACTCCAGTCGAAACGTGTCTTTTTGATCCACTCCGCCGAATCGGGCGTCTCCGCAGACACGATCGACAACACCGCAACAACTCGGAACCAAGAAGCGAGGGGTCGCTAAGGAGTCGCCCCTAAGACACGACGGGAGGGGCGCCCCTCGGGGCGGGGGGGGGGGGGGGGGTGCCGGGGGAAGCGTCGAGTGTACGGGAAAAGAGGGCTCGGAAGTCGCGAGGGCGCCGAGGGAACCGCACACCTCCATCTCAATTAGGCCTCACAAAAAGGTGGGAGGGGATGTTTTGCTCGGGAGTTAGCGGACACCCTTATCAGTTTCACCCCTCGTGACTCCCGCGCGTGCCGGCGAGTACATTGTGCGTCCGCACCCCCTCCCCCTCCCTCCCGCGTACCCCGCGGTGGTCGTAACTCATGCACGCACACCAACTCAGGTGCATCGCGAGGGAATGATTTGCAGTTTATAACGTGCAGTGAGCGGAGAGTATGGAAGGTGCAGTGAAAACAAGCCCGATTAATGAGGGGACCGTGTGTCAATCTACCCCCGCCCTTCCCTTCCGGGGGCATGTAAAACATGGGGTGGCGAGGAGTGATTCTTGACTTATGGAGTCTTGAGTTCCGTCCTGCCCTTGTAGGAAGCGCGCGATCGGGTTTAAACCCTCAATGCGTCTTTCTTGTCCTTTCAGTTCAACAGTTGAATAGACTGATTTGACATGACTTCACTACTTATTGTGTTATATAAGAAACAATTGCACTGTAAATATCCATTAATTTCCTGTAGCTTGAGCGACATGAGGATTAAACAATTTTATAACCTACGTAAATTTAGATCGTAATTTTAAAATTTTATGGTTTCATATTCCGACTTTCCTATATACGCTAGTTACGGAGAAATTATCTTTATTTCTCCATTTTTTTTTATTGGCTTGTCGCAACTGAGGTCATTGCGATACTATCAAAGACAGTCGGCACGTTAATCTTGCGTACTTTTCCACTCATAAATACGCAAGTAAATTCCGTGAAATTTAAAAGCGATTGCACATCAAGGTGCACATAATACAAACAGGATTTAAAAATGGTGCTATGTGCACACAACTCAAAGGAGAGAGCGGGGCAAACAAAACACAGAACCTGGATTAAAACTTATTACTCCAGTGACACGTATTTTGCCTTTTAAAATGAGCCAAAAATAGTAGCTTCTAATTGCTCAAAAGAGTCTGTATGACAGCAAATGGTTTTGAAATGTTCGCGAGAATAAATATACAATTTCTTTTTCATGTTTGAAACGTTTGGTTAAAAATGGGGTTTGACAGCATGTGATGAATTTACTTTTCATATTTCTAGCCTAAATTTTTGAAATATATTCATATTTTTTCTTTGAGACCAAATTAAAAAAAAAAAAAATTAAACATTTGACGGTTTCCCAAAGGTTAACTGACGAATATTTTTCTTCCAATTTTTCAGATAATTTTGTTCGCAATTTCACTTGAAGTCCATTAAACTTTCTAGGAAAAATATTTATATCTTTCTTCAAAAATAAACATTTTATTGAAGGAAATTTGGCAAGTCTCAAATGTTCATACGGCGTTCTTCCTTAGCATGGCAGAGTGGAAAGTTTCCTGTTTCTGATAGGTGCGCGTCATAGTTACCGTAAAGTGCCTCTTCTGCATGCTCTGCCGTGATAGCGAAGAGAGCAGTAAGTGCATTTCTGTATGAGTCATGATTAGCACATGATTTTATGCGTCTCGAGGTTCATCCCAGCATGCACTTACTGCTCTCTTCGCTACACTGAAAACAAAATCTCGGTGTATTTACTGAGAAAAGGGTGAAATTACCAAGAATTCAGGGTTCTATTTGATCCCAGTTTTTTCTTGGTAAAATTACCATGTATGGAATTGGTAATTTTACCGAGAAATCTCGGTAAAATTATTGAACTTTCTCGGTAATTTTACTGGACCTTGGTAAAAACGCCAATATTTTTTAACGACTATGGTAGAATTACCGAGATAAAATGGCAAAGTTACCGGGAATTGATTACCAATAAGAGTGATATTCTTACCTGAAAAAAAAAAAACAGTAAAAATACCGGTTTTTACGTAAGTTTACCAGACTGTCTTGGTAAAATTACCAAGGATTGGTAAAAAAAGTGAGATGGTAAAGGTACCAACGGACCTTCGTAAAAACGCCGAGAATTGTTTTTCAGTGTGCGTCTCGAGGTTCATCCCGGCATGCACTTACTGCTCTCTTCGGTATCGCGGCAGTGCTGTAACGGTTGTCATCGCGAAAGTCAACCGCGCGTTAAGCGAATGCAAAGGAGGTTCCATACAAGTCAAGTTTAAGGCAAACAACTTGTAACATTGAAGTCCATGATAACAATCGCCTCCTTCCTCGACTCGAGTTCCGTCCGCGTTGGGACGGAGCTCCGAGAAGACCATCAGTATGTTGTGATTGCCCCTCTGGATAGAGTAGCTAGGGGTCGTGACCGACCTTTTGCACTCGGGATATTCATTTCAGTGAACCGCGGAGCCAATCAATTGACCTCGCCTTCATAGATTTTTCTCTGGGTTTTTTAGTTTGAGTGCCTTTTTACTGATCGCGAGCTTGAGGTATGTGATCAGTCTTATCCTCCTGCAAAGTGAGAAGTTTAGGGTACTTAGTGACAAATTTTCTTTTCCCCCAAGAAAGAACATAACTGAATTGCAGTGTTGCCAATCCCCTAGCAAATTTCAATTGGACGGAGTTAAACAGAAAGGAACCAAGCCACATCGAGATCGAACCGAGAAAAATAGGTTTAAAGTTTGGCTCCTGCATAAGACTCAATGTAAAAGATAAACTTCTGATTCAATTTTTGCAAAATTTGCTCCAACAAAAACTTTGAATTTTTGGCGATAGATAGTAGAGCAGTGGTTGAGTTCAAAACCACTCATAACTCAGTTTTTTCCAAAATGTGGGTTGGTTCCTTTCTGCTTAATTCAGTCCAATTGTGCAAGAAAATCTTGGGCATATCTAACTGAAAGTTTCCCCGATTTTTTTTCTGATTTTACGGAAGAAACAGAGAAATTTTGGGGAAAAACTGCGTGGGTAAGTTCTTGAGGAACCTTTAATTGTTTGAGTCAGTTTTGCAATCTTGGAGTGGAGTTAAGTTCCTCCGTCGAGGAAACGTCGAAATAACCCATTTTAAACTGGTCTGAGGTGAACGCAACTGTTGTCTATACTGATTATAGCTCCTCTCTGTAGATTTTCTTATTTTTCCTAGCCTCGGCTTTTCCTTAAAAATGCAATCATACGTATCTTAACATTTAGTTTTGATATAGGCTTACATTAAGCTTTACCAATATCAGTTCAACTCAAAGTTTAAGAGGTTTGAAGTTTTGAGCTGTTGCCAAATTGTCCTTGATGAAATTATTGTTCTTGCGGAATTTCATCGATATCTCTCGTTGGAATTTTCAGATACCACAGATTTAATTGAAAATTAAATTATTTGAAAAAATGGAAAAAATATTCACAATTTTCCCAGAAAATTCGAGTTTTAATAAAAGCAAATGTCCAAGGACCCATACGACGTTCCCATTCTTTCTCACCACGGCAACATACGACTTTATGTGTGTGATGCCCATAATGATCTGGGTAATTATTAAAAGAATTCCTTAGGCTCTAATGAAATGACGGAAGTTATATAAACAAATTATGAGCTAAAAATTGCGCCGTGTATTCATCGTATTTACCTCCTGATAATAAAACTTGGTTCCTTTTTGCTGACTTCAGGCAATATGTAAGGCAGTAACTACACAAGCATGCTTTGTTTCTAGTATGCTCAGTCATGTTATGACACGAGTACGAATAGGTAAAATAACATTTTAAATGGTAAATATCAGGCGGATTTGGGTCCTTTGTTTTGCATATTCATTGACCATCCATGCTCAGAAATAGATTAGGTGTTTGAACATTGGCTAAATTGAGGAGCGATCTTAGTGCACACCACATCATTCTCTTTGGCAAACATATTTATAGTATCCGTCTACAATGGCAAAGCTGGACTTTCTCATGGGGTAGAGGGAATGGTCCATTTGCAGTCAAAAAATTCTCAAGGGTGGGGGAGAGGGATGACCGAAAATAAACAATTTCCGAAAATCACGAGGAATGACGTTTCTTGGGAGCATTTTTGGGGACGCCAAAACCCTAAAAATTAAGGCACTCTCATCAAACCAACATCAAATATTTCGCCAAAATTCCTCCTGTGTGAACTGTGAATAATGAAAATTGAAAAATGCAAATCAAACATTTGGAAAATAATCAAAAATAATTAAACAATTTTAATTTGAATAATTTAAATGCGGTTGGCTATAATTAGCGAAATTGCGCTCGTGCAGTTCCTGCTCAAGAATGAAGCTTTCGGATGTGCATATGTTATCTCAAAGATAATTTTGTAATATGAGTGTATATCAAAGCAGTATCTTACTTCATAATCACGGTGAAAAGCCATCCATTTGCATAAGTCTCACCTATACACCGAGTCATTGGAGCGAACGACGCAGGTCTGTATGCATATCCCAGAATCGTGTTTTTATGGCTTAATGGTTGAGATTTGCAGGATTAAGTAATGGAATGGAGATGTCACTACAAAATTATATTTTGGTGGCGAAAGCTTATTGAGCGGCACACGATACTAAAATCTGACAAAATGTCCCGCTGTGCCGAATATGAGCGTAGATGTTATTCTATGGAAATTATGTGAAGATGAAAATTTCATCGGTGACTTGCCTCTTTGATAAGTTTTCTTTTAGCTACTTTCCGACAAAATTTTCTGACTCGCCCAGTGAAATAACAAACGCTTTTTCATCAAGAGGCTCTTCGGGTGAAGCAGATGTCTCTCGGTTCCTTTTCGCTTGAACTCCGTTTCTCACTCTCTGAAACTGCCTGGATTTCCTTTCTGAGGAGCGTTGAGGCACCTCCCATGCCATGTGATACCCATGCTGATCGCTGCCGTGCTAAGGGAAAATGATGTATGAACATTCAGAAAATGTTTATTTTTGGAAAACGGTATGGATATTTTACCTTGAAAGTTGTTAACACATTAAATAAAATCACAAACGAAAGTCTTTGAAAAAATCGGAAGAAAAATATTTACAAATTTTCCAAAAAAATCGTGATTTGTCAAATGCAACTTCTGAAGGCTCTTACGGCGGTCTCTCTCTCACTCTGCACGGCAGCACGGGAGCCTACTAAAATCCCAAGTAGCAGTGATCGCGATGAAAGCGATTTGATCGGATGGTACCGCGATTTTATTGACGTCGATTTATTAATTGCAATATTATCGGATACAAAATTAATTCATCGTATAAATTTGCGACGAAACCGCGATTTTATCAACGGCGATATATTGCAATATTATCGAACGAGGAATTGTGATAAATTGAGATGAAATTACGATTTTATCGAACGCAATTTCATAGAGATAAAATTGCGGTCAGATTGAGGATAATCGCTCAGATGATAATGAACCTGGCGATTTTATCGTCAAAGAATCGTGAAAATACCGCATAACCTAATTTCAAAATATCGCGATTCTCCGTTGAAAAATGCTACTTTGGGTTGCGAGAGTCAATCAAAAATGGGTTTCGTTTGGGTTCAAAATTCAATTCAAAATGGGTTTCAAAAAAGCCCAACTTTGCGACGATCATTACTCGAACACGGTGGGTAATATGGAAAAAACATATGCTGCCTTTTTAATAGAAAATTTTATAGGCTTAATTTTTGCTCTGAAGTATTTTCACGCAAAAAATGACTTTTTCACCGACTTTCAGGCCAAAAACCGAAAGAATAGCGATTTTAGGCCTGAAAATCCAAGATTGCGGCTAAAGCTCCACTCCAGGAATGGTGCAAAATTAACCCTTATTTACGGACCTCATAATACGTCTTTTAAAAAAATGTCTAGCTTTCCAGCATGTAATTCAATATCCATTCTCTTGGTGCCTGGCCTATTCACGTATCTTAACCCTAATTATTCAGAGACTCTAAAACACCCTGAGAGTTATTCCTGTTCTGTCTACAGGCACCAGTGATCACCCAGCAAACCGCGTGAAACCATGGGCAACCCAGACATCCCAGATGAGACCGAAGTGGCGGAGATGGTCCAGAGCCTCGCCGACTGGCTCTCGAAGCAGCCGCACCTCCCGCGCATCCAGGACGACAAGGTCCTCCTCCGCAAGTTCCTCGTCAACTGCAAGTACCGCGTCCAGAAGGCCAAGACCAAGATCGACCAATACTACTCCGCGCGAACGGCGCATCCAGAGATCTACCTCAACCGCGACCCCACCTCCGCCGCCATCCAGACCATCTCGGAACTCTGCCCCGTGTTCCCCCTCCCTCGGCGGACGCCCCGCGGGGAGCTGGTCTTCGTAGCCCGCGCCGAGCCTCAGATCGAGGACATCATCCCCATGGACTACCTCCGCTACCTCACCATGGTCCTGGACGTCTTGCTCCTCGAGGAGGACAAACTCGACTTCCTCGTCGTCATCGACTACCGCGGGTTCTCCTTCCAGCACTTCCTCAAGTTCACGACGATCGCGGGCCTGTGCACGGAGCTCATGCTGGAGGTTTACCCCGGGCAGTACAAGGGCACGCACTGCGTCAACGTCCCGCCCTTCATCGATAGCATCGTGGCGTTGCTCAAGAGGGCGGTCAAGCCGAAACTGAGGGATCGCGTCCATGTCCACACGCAGCTGGACACGTTCCACGATGTGGTGGGCAAGGATTTCTTGCCGTCTGATCTCGGAGGCGCTGATAGCTTGATCAAGGAATTGAATGGTAACCGCTGTTTTTTTTCAAATTCTATGTTCTATGAAACAATGTTTTGAAAGTGGATGTGATTCTTTTACGCCTTGTCTCTGCGGGACGTTTCACGGGATTTTCCCTGAGTTCAAATCACAGGAATGAAACTTCCAGGAAAAATTAACCCCTTTAAGCAGAGAAATAACTGAAATAGTTATTTCATCCTCCACTCTAACTTATGGAACGTTTTTCCTGAGACTCTGCCACAAACGTCTTTGTTTGAAATTCATTCCGATAACATTACTACGTTATAGGTCGTGACCGCACGTTGAGATAAACCCTACCATATATATGTATAATTTTTATACAGCTGGAAATGGAGTTATACCCTGATCATAGGAGTGGAATAACCACGTTATTCAATTTTTTACCCTTTTCACGCCGTTTTCACCCTAATTTCGAGTTCGACTTGACCCTGCCCCCCCCTCCATAGTTAGGTACATGTAAGACACCCAGAGCCGAATTTAGTTTTTTTGCCGCCCCCCCCCCGACCATTTGCTGAAAAATCTTATTCTCCTCTTCAAAAAAACGGAAACTTCAATTGATGTACATTACTTTATGTCAGACAAAATGGAAAATACCAGTACTAAAAAAATTATCTTCTTGGTGAAGATATCATCTGTACACATAATTCTAATAAATTAAAAGAAAAGGGATAATATCGACGGTGAAACTACCAAACCACGTATCTCGGTTTGCGACGTCTCAGACTTCCTGTCATACTTTATTTTTTAAATGAAAAACTACTGAACATCCAGTCTTGAAAATTTCTGTGATTTTTCCTCTTTGTGCGGAGAAAATTCCATGAAAATTTCAAGGAATGATATTGATTTGGTCTACTTCAAAAAAATAAAATGTGAGCGTAGATTTTTAAACACCGCAAACGAGATACGTGGTTTGGTAGTTTCACCGTCGATATGCGGCCCTCTAAAATTTGCCACCTAGTGCAGATGCACTTTATGCACTTGCTCTGAACCCGGCTCTCCAGACACCCCTTGCCTTTCAGTGGCGTGGCGTGTTTTACGATATATCGATTGAACTCACATTTAAAACCATAGAATAGGATCGATAAACAGGGTGTTCGCAGCGAACATCTTAATGATCGATTCTTTGCCAGAGCCACAGAAGGAGAAATTTCGATAATCGATCGATTACGCCACGCCATTGTTGTTTTTATCCTCCTCCATGCAGGGCCCCGACTTCATTTACGGGAAGGTTCTTTCATTCCTCTTCAATTATGTGTAATCTTGGTGTTTGCAGATATGTATCGGAAAAAAGTTGAGTCCTACGGAGACTGGCTGAAAAGTCAAGAGAACGTGCGATCAAATGAGGAGCTTCGGCCAGCTGCATCCAGAGACTCAATGGAGATGGGCATTGAGGGGTCGTTTAGGAGGCTCCGCGTTGACTGAAGACCTCGATAACGCAGACAGTTGCCTTGAGGTATATCGATTGATGTGTCATTTGAATCTATGAAAAAGGATCGATACAGGGTGTCCGCAACGATTACCTTAATAATCGATTCTTTCCATAGCTTCAAATGGGGAAATATCGATCACCGATCATTCACGTCTCGCCTCTGCGACTTGCAGTTCTAAACGCCACGGTTTGCACGGATTAAACGAACGTTAGTGGCTAATAGATAACGCGTTAGTCTTATGATTTTTTTTTTTTTTTTTTTTAGAGTAAGATGCATCTTTGAACTATGCTGTTTGGTTTTATCGCTGCATTGAATTGTGGATAAATTAAAAAAAAAACTAGCTTGCAAAGGTACTAATTCCGATCTTAAAACACAATTTAAGTTCTGAAGTGGGCGATTTGATTCAGTCTGTTTTTTGTTTATATTATTTTTTTTTTTTTTGCCTCGGGGGAACAACCATTGTATTATGTGGCACAGAAAAAGCTGATTTCTCGTTTATGATGTGATAATTAAATTTCCTTTCACCCAACATAGTCTACGTCTATTTGAATCCCACCAAACATTGTCTACGTCCAGTTGAAATCCCATGATGGAGGAGGGATTGAGGTGCTGAAGTTTTCACTGTGTACTTAGAGGTTCCCAAGACCAATCTACACAGGTCAGTCATTCGAGTTCTGAAATTCTATACAGTGCAGTGACGTAGAACTGGTTTTTTGCAATGTATTTCTTATCAGAGCAGCCGATATGACGTCACACTGGCTGCGGCCGAGTTTGCGCCGGGCGGGGGAGTGGATTTCAAAAAGTAGCGGAATGACTGACCTGTGTGGACTGGTCTTAGACGCACCTAGATTTTGAGGTTTTCACCTTCTACAAAGGTTTTCAGCTTCCGGAAGATCTCTACTTTGAAAGATTCCTGTGGCGGTCAGGCGTCGCATAGCACCCTGGTGCGCTGGAAAAGCAGCTTTTTTATACATGCTTAGAGGCAAATGGATCATATGGGATTGATTGAGATGCCGCACCATGCACGCCAACGACTCACCAAAATGTTCTGTACCTACCCAAGAATATGGTATATCAATGCTGATAGGAAGGGGCATTTGAACAATTCAACAATAGAGGTAAATGAAAACTTAAAAAACTACACAGGATCGTTCATTTACCTGAAAATTAATGAAACACAACATTTGCATGTCAATAAATTGATATGAGGATTTTCATGCACGCATCACCTTGAGTAATTCTAATGATTGTTCGACTAAATTCAACTGCCGGTGAAAAATCTAATTCGTAGATATTTACAGTCTCTCTGCTCCCGAAAGATTCGATAGTATTCCAACATTTTAAATTCTTCCCTGCGACAGCTGATTTTTTATTCATTGACATTATTTTTTTATTGATTGGTGTAATGTGTATGTTTTGTATTCAGTATAAAAGAGAATTCACACAAAATGTGAAAATATAATTTCAGCCGTTTTTATGTAAAATGAATAAATTGTCAAATAACGCATTGCAACTTTGCAATGATTTCGAGTCCCTCTCACTGTCACCCCTTCAATTTAATATTATTTTCATGTGTACTTCATGTATTTATTTAAATACCTATTGAATGGCTGTAAGCAGTATTAGCTAAATTATATTCCTCAAAGCATAATTTTCTCTATTTTTTTTTTTTTTTTTTTTTTTTAAATCAAAGACTACGTTGCATATTGCCTCTATACTCTTAGATTACAAAAATATGTTCCAAAAATTTGAAAGATCCTCTAAGTACTCGGAGTCAGTGAAGCAAAATAAGAAACGGACCCGCGGGGAAAAGAGCGTCAATTCATAAAAACCGCTAAGAAATTGAAAATAACCCGCCAAATCCTTGTCAACTGGTGACAGCCAATGGTAGAGCTTTCGGCGTTGATGCCTCCGGTGAGTGTTGTCTGAGCATCATGCATCAATCCAGAATCTCCTTTTGCTTCGGAATGCTTGGAAGCTGCTGATTAAATCTTTTTACGGAAGTGCGGAAGTGTCGTAACAAATTTGCTTACACGTTGACCCGTGACATTTAAAATTGGGTTAGCAGTTGCCTCTACGCAAGTATATCATTTTTACTATCACATCAATCTCACAACTCAGCCAACTCCGTAAGTTGATGTTCCTTATCAGTGAATATCATTCCTCCACACTTGGCTTTCCCATGAATATTTTACGTGCTTTAATTCTGCTTTCTCATCATCTCCGTCCTACCTAGTCTGTCTACATCGCCTATTTCCTGGCCGAGTAGCCATAAGCTCTCTTAAGTGTTTTTTCAAGTGTTGCTCTCAAGTGTTCCGGTCAGTTTGCATTGTCATCCTGAAGTCGCAGTAGGCTTCACTGCATAGGACAACACATGTAGAAGGATGGTTCTCTCAACCGTAAGTTTATCCTTCCAACTTTTTTCTCACATATCTGTCAGATTACATTTTGCAGAAGCTTATAGTAGTGCTCTACCAATCCGCCTGCATACAATGCCTGATAATGTAATCGAACACATCCAGAGACAAGAGACCCTCCACTGCCCTCCTAGCGACAGGTGGAAGCATTTACTTTCGGGGTTTCAACAATTCCTTATGGACAATTATTAAGGAGCAACAGTCATCACCCTCGTTTCGGCTGTTGACTTACCTACATGGTAGATGATGAGCTTCAGATGACGTCATGAGCCAAACAACTTTCCCAAACGTCGGCCATTTTCGGCTTGTTTGCAAAACGAAACTGCCAGCACGTTGTTGAACATCAACCATGTAGGTAAGTCAACAGTAGAATGCTGAAGTCCCGAAAGTAAAAGCTTCCACCATGGCCAAGATACTAGTGGAGCATCTCTTATCTCCGAACACATCAGCAGGCGTGGTGCTGGTACCAGCAGTTTTTTTAATTTGAGATCATTATAGATGCTGGTAAATTCCAGTGAATATAAAACTGCTGATTCTTTCTATCTTGTGATCTCATAATCCTTTGAAGTGTGTGGGAATCTTGTCAGTTTGTTCTAGTCAAGAATCTGTACCATGGGATTTCTGACCCTAAAAATGAGCCTGAACGTTTTTCGGATGTGCTGCCTGGTGGCAGTGCTCACAAAGAAAGAGCTAAGAATGTGAGTGAAAAATGAGCACTCAAGGAATATCCTATTGTATCCTGATGCAAAATCAGAGGTATCAGTAGCTCTCTCCAAGACTGTGCCAACTATTTTGTGTGGATCCTACTTGTCACATACCTTTCCTTGGTTCTCTCTACGGATTACTTTCTATCAAAGCCAAGGAAATCCATTGTTTGCATGTTACCTGAAAAGCTGAAAAAATTACATCTAAATACATTTTTGCATTGATCCTCCGATGTATTCCATGCTTGAAAATCTGAATATTATTCTTGAACATTTCAGGTAGAGTTTGCTGTTAATTTATCATGTGATAGCTGTGTAAAAAATGTGAAGAATCAACTAGAAGGAGTAGAAGGAATTGAGAATGTCAAGATTTCTTTGGAGAATCAATCTGTTGTCCTCAACACCGCTCTTCCTTCTTTCGAAGTTCAAAGGTTGATCGAACAAACTGGAAAACAAGCTGTGCTAAAGGGATATGGTTCAGGTAATTTTGCATAGAATTTTCTAATTTTGTGTGCGCATGGTTGATTTCACAGTAACAGGACTAGTTTTGTTCCTGAAGGTTAAGAGCAACTCAAGGCAAAACAATTGAAAACGCAGGGGTGCAGAAAATGCTCGATCGTGTGTATACAAGGGCATGTGAAAATGTGATAAATCCTCTTCAATATGTGGTAGGAAATTTGTAAAAAAATCGGAGGAAAAAAAACAAGGAAATTTATATGGTTAATGATAGAAAGTCTTAGGTAAGTAGAGGAAAAAAGTTGTCACTTTTGAAATTGGTGGGAAATTTTACGGAAATCTGATGAGAAAAATATAGAAAGCTAGCGTGGTGTGCTTAAAAATATGGACGCCCGAAAAATTCTACATCCCTGTGGAAACTAAAGTATTAAAATGGAAGGAATGATCGCCATGATCCTGCATTTGTGCATGCCAGTAAAAACTCAAGAAATAATGAATCATACGAATACATACATATTTAGAAGTATGAGACTTAAAAGATTTTCTATCTGCCTCTCCACTGCACGTAATCAAGTTTTTACTTGCTTCAAGAATTAATGAAGAATTTCAAGTGAAGCAATTTCAGACTTGATACCTAAGTTAAGTAGATCCACTCAGTATTTTTACTCCATAGTCATTCTTTTGTTGGAAATTATCTTGAGTCATAGATCTTGGATGCTATGCTTGCACATATAAATTTTGCATAAAGAAATTTCTCATGGTCAGGCAAGCATAGAGTTCAATATATTTATTAGAATAAACTGAAAAATAGTCTAGTTAGTATTACTGGCATTCCAACATGTAAAATGCAATATTTATTTTGTACGTAAAGCTAGGCACTACCTTATATTCACATAGTAGATTGAGAGGCTGTAGATAGATTGATATCATATACGTTTTATTTTTCGTCTTATCTCATGTTTCCCTCCTTAAGGTATGTAGTTCATAAATCTCACAATTTTTATTGTTGTTTTTTGAATGGCAGAGGAGAGAAATTTAGGTTCAGCCGTCGCTCAATTGGCTGGTGAATCAGGGTTCAGCTCAGGAATCTTGAAAGGTGTAGTTCGCTTTGTCCAGTCTGATGCAAAGACCTGTGTTGTTGAGGGTACCATCGATGGATTAACACCTGGCTCTCATAACTTACAGGTCCATGAATGTGGTGATATTTCCAAAGGCTGTGATAGGTAAGTTTTCATCTTCTTATTCAATCTCCAATGAGGCCATTGCAAACTTCAGCCAGAGCTAAACAAAATGTTTGGGAGGGAAATAAGCCACAAGTTCTATTGAGCTCATCGGCAGCTAGACTGAAATTCACTCCTTACAGCACATCCAAGCAAGAAATTTGTGCTTTTATAAGTGTCCTGCTTCCAAAACAATGCTATGGCAACGATTTTATTTAATGTAGATGAGTCTTCTCGATATTGCAGTCAAGCAAAATTCAAAATAACCATTGCCATGTTAGGTATGTGTTTCTTTTTCTTTTTTTTTTGAAAACAAACAAAAAAACTACCTTTTCTTACTAATAGAAACTTAAAGAGCAGGAAAGTAAAAATTTCGTATGAGAGGCATTGTTTGTTAGTTGAGTTGTTTTAGTCGAGAAACTGTGATACCTGGTGATAGCCGTTTTGACTTTTTTGTAGAGTTGCGAGACTGGAATGGCTTAAGCTAGTTTGGGAAGATCCTTAACCCAGTGTCATTTAAAGGACTATTTTAATGAATCTTGAGCTAAATTCAACAGTATAACTTTCTAAATTAACCCTTGCAAGATATTATTCTGATGCGCCGCTGCAAAAAATGAAAAATATGACTAAAAGTTCTATGATTTTTGACAAACCTTAAAGTAAGAAGGTACGAACCTATCTTAAAATGTCCTGGCAAAAAATTTTCTTTGGTATTTTTAATTTCTTACAGAGGTAAATCATTTTAATCCCAAGCAAGAGTCTACGAAAGTAAAGGCCAAGTTGTTGTGACGACAAAAATGGTCAGAACTCCCGGGAAACGACAAGTTTTGATAAGGGTCCTCATATCAAGGACAAGAACAAGGTATCGATAGGTTGGAAAAAGGGAGTTGTCAGGGAATTTTATTTGGTCAAGAAAGTCAGAGAATAGTATGAAAAGGTTGAACATTTGAAAAATCTTGATACTTAGATTTTCAACAAGGGATCGAAATTTTTGTCAATTAAAGATTATAAGCTGAAGAAAGAAGATTGACTTGTTTCTGTCATTTGCAGTGAAATTAATGACAAAAATGATTCATGTATAGTTCTACCCATGCAATTTGTCAATATAAAAAGTGCAGGAATTTTGGGTATGGAGAATCTAGAAAAGATATGAATGTTTTTCCTTCAATTTCGTAGATGCTCTGAACAAACTACAAGTTTGAAGGAAAAGAGTCACAAATATTGTATTTTATCGATAGATTGTAGAATGTAGATGCTCCAATTTTTGACAGTGGCCTACAATGGCTTAGTGCTGAGAGTGAACTGTCATATTTGATAGGTCTTTTTTTATTTTTAGAAGTGTTAACATAATGCTGGTAATTTTTTCAGAGAGCCACAGAAAATTGTTCTTATTCCGGGGAGAAAATTAACATCTGAAGTTTTAACATCAAGCACTGCTCTCTTTTATGTAGGATTTACTCGTGGCACATCATTGCTCATTTTTTTACCCCTTTTCAACACCTATCTTTATCTTTTTTTACAGTGTCGGTGATATTTTTAACCCGGGCAGTGAGCCTCTTACACAAGAATCCAATGAGTTAAATAAAAGGGTAGGTATGTTGTGTACAATTTGATTTTTATTTTTTTATGTTGGAATTCTATAATTTTTTTTGTTCTATTCGTAAAAACATCATCACAGATTTTTTAACCTACAAGACATCATGAATCATATCATGTTTGTCATCTTAAGCCAGCAAGCTCACAGTGTAGGAATATTTAGAACTTCTTCAATTCATGATAAATATTACAGTTCTGTCTTATAGATAGCAATAATAATCCTTTGATTTTTGGCATGTAAAAAATACAGATTACACTGGTCAACATGGGTTCTGTCCTTCGAACCAAACCAATTTTTTTCGATTCCTAGGCACTAAAAAAGCCCGAATATGGCCATATTAACTTCAGGAAAATTGGCTGGTCCTCAGGCAGAGACAAGAGACCCTCCACTAGTAACTTGGCTATGGTGGAAGCTTTTACTTTCGGGACTTCAGCATTCTACTGTTGACTTACCTACATGGTTGATGTTCAACAACGTGTTGGCAGTTTCGTTTCGCAAACAAGCCGAAAATGGCCGACGTTTGGGAAAGTTGTTTGGCTTATGACGTCATCCGAAGCTCATCATCGACCATGTAGGTAAGTCAACAGCCGAAAATAGGGTGATGACTGTTGCTCGCTCATAATTGTCCATAAGGAATTGTTGAAACCCCGAAAGTAAAAGCTTCCACCTGTCGCTAGGAGGCCAGTGGAGGGTCTCTTGTCTCTGTCCTCAGGGCGCCGCCATTTTGAATTTTTCAAAATTGAGAAAACCCACGATTAGATTTTTGCAAATACCTCCTCAACGGTTCATCTCACAAAAAAAAAAACAAAAAAATTAGCGGAAAGAGTATAAAATTTCCTACCGAAATCATCCTCCTATGTTTTTTCTAACTTAAGTTTTTCGTCGTGACATTAGCGTTTTCTTCAAAAATTAGCTTAAAAAAGGCGCATTTTTGCTGATTTTAGGAGAAACTTTACTTCATACCTCCAGCCACGATTATATGAGAAAAAAACTGTTATGCTCATTGAAAAGAGCGTAAAATTTACTTCGAGAATACCTACGTCAATAGTTCCTAAACTTGATTTAATCCTGTGAAACAGCAGTTTCTTAGCTCCGCCCTTAAAATGTGATTTTTTCGACCATTTTCCTTAGAAAAAAAAGGAGAAAAAAAACCCTAAAAACGCAACCCGAACTGTGTAAAAAGGTGGCAAAATAGTGCTGGGTCCACACCATTTTGCAAACAAAGCCAAAAAGTTCCAAAATTTTCAATCAGAGTCAAAAATTTTGAGCTCTAATGGATAACCAGTACGGCAGTGAGTACATAACTGAAGGGGAAGAGCGTTTAGCTGAGGCAATTAGCATTAGAATTTTAAGTAGATGTCACGGCAAGAGATCTATAATTCTGGGTCTTGTTATAGACCTCGTCAGTAGATCACACTTGTCAGTGAGATCAAAAAGTCAAAAAGTTCAAAAATTTTCAATCAGAGTCAAAAATTTTGAGGTCCAATGAGTACCAGTACGAAACTTGCCGTCTTCCAATCCAAAACTTGTACTTTGAACTTGAGCTTTGATGCCGTCTTGGATTTTGCGAGATTTTCAGTTGGGTTCACATGACGAGTGTGATCTATTGATGAGTCATAAAAAGACCCATAATTATAGATCTCTCGACGTTACCTTACCTTAATATTCTAATGCAAACTGCCTGAGCTGAACACTCACCCCTTTGGCACTTTTGGGATTTGTTTGCAAAATAGTGTGGACCCATCACTATTTTGCCACCTTTTTACACAGATCGGGTCACGTTTTTAGGGTTTTTTTCTCCTCTTTTTTTTTTCCTAAGGAAAATGGTTGAAAAAATCACATTTTAAGGGCGGAGCTAATAAACTGCTGTTTCACAGGATTAAATCAAGTTTAGGAACTATTGACATATGTATTCTAGAAGTAAATTTTACGCTCTTTTCAATGAACATAACAGTTTTTTTCTCATAGAATCGTAGCTGGAGGTATGAAGCAAAGTTTTTCCTAAAATCAGCAAAAATGCGCCTTTTTTAAGCTAATTTTTGAAGAAAACGCTAATGTCACGACAAAAAACTTAAGTTAGAAAAAACAGAGGAGGATGATTTCGGTAGGAAATTTTATGCTCTTTCCGCTGGTTTTTTTGCTTTTTTTTGTAAGATGAACCGTTGAGGAGATATTTGCAAAAATCTAATCGTGGGTTTTCTCAATTTTGAAAAATTCAAAATGGCGGCGCCCTAAGGACCACCCAAATTTCCTGAAGTTCATATGGCCATTTTTGGGCTTTTTTAGCGTCTAGGAATCGAAAAAAATTTGTTTGGTTCGAAGAACAAATCAAAACCCGACATTTGTTGTGCTGTGTTATCAATTTTTTTCTCGTTTAATTTTCAGTCCTTGAACTTTGTATTCACAATATTTTTTTAAAATCCCATACAATGAAAATATCAGTCTGAGATTGCTTAAAAATAAGTATTTTACCCAAATGAGAAGGACTCATGTACACCTACTCTAAGCAGTTTTCATCCCTGTTATCTACCTCAGTGTAAAGACCTCTTTCAAAAACCCTTTTTCCTTTTGGCGCGTATACGTAGTATACCGCCTTTGCGATCGTTTCGACCCCCCCCTCGATACAATAACCGAGTCCCCTAGTTCCTTACCGAAAAGTGACTACCGCGAACTTCTGAGATTTTCCAAAGCGTGTAAAAAGTTTACTAATCCGTCAATAATAATGATTAAAATTTGTTTCTCATTCTGGGGCTCGCTAGTTTATGTGTAATGAATACCAAGAGTCTACGTTTCTNTAGGTACCAGTGAACACATTCTATATAATTCTATATTGTTACAGCAATATAGAAATTAGGCATTGTCGCTTATCGAAAGACACATCATAAACCTAGACTTAAAGACTACAGAGAATTCGCAAACTATTTTCAATGAAAAGCAATTTTGGTTCTAAAACCACTGTTGGAAGAGGAGGATAGACTCAAAATCATACTGACTCCTTCCTTTCTAGGAGGAAATTTTTGGATACCCTTTTGTGGCGAACGAATTCTGCATGATTCCATCTATTGAAACTTAAACATCTCATTAATTTCAGTGTTCTGATTTGCAGCTTGCTGGAGATTTAGGTAAGATACAAGCTAATGCTGAAGGTCGTGCTGAATTCAGATTTGAAGACAGTCTTCTCAAAGTGTGGGATATAATTGGAAGGTCACTTGTAATCGCAAAAAGTATGAATGACGGTTTAGAGGATTTATCACAATCTGACAGTGAGCAAAGAAGGTAAGATGTGTTATTCATCTTCTTCAATCTTCATTTCCCTCATTGGTTATTGATACTTAGATGTATACTTTTTCTCCTCAGTTTTACATACTCTGATTTGTGGATGATGAAACTTTAACTCCGATTTGATTCAAAATGCAGTAGGTTCTCCAAAATAGATTTTGGGACTTTTTAAAATGAGTGAAATGAGTTTTTCAATATATATGTTGCTTGCGAGAGAAACAGCCAAGTAAATATGTAGACTTTCCATTGGTAAAGTCGCAGAAAATAATGATGAGCACGTCAACGAAATATGAAAAGAATATCAGACTTCTTACAAGTTTTGAGCTCCTTTTATCAGGAGTACGATTAAATTACTTCTGATGGCTCCGTCTAAAGTGTGGTAAAGAAGCTCTGCTTCATACACAACTCTCTTTTTGGTCCAAGTAAAAATTTCAGTTCAAGCTGTGCAAGTTGAACTTTTATTACGGCAAGCTCAAGATATCTTTAGTTCCTCCACGGTACAAATCAGAACTAATTAGCAATCAAAGAAAAATATCAATTGATATTTTCCTTTTTCCCAAATTCCTTTCTCAACTCGCGGTGGGCTGCAAACTTGCCAACAAAATTTGGGTCCTGTCCTTCGAAAAGTTGCAAAATCATACCATTGATTTTTTTCAGGTTAGCCTGTGCTATCATTGCGCGATCAGCTGGTCTCTTCGAGAACACAAAGAAAATATGTGCATGTGATGGCGTATCAATATGGGATGAACGAAACAGACCTCTAACAGGACCGGGCAGACAGAGTGAAACCTCCAAAACAGACAGAAAAATCGATGGCATCAGCAGCTGTTCAGTCGGTTGAGGTTTTTACTTTTTTTTCTCAGAATGTTTATTTTGATGGCCAAAGTGTGAAACTACGTATCCTATTGGGGTGTTTCAAAATTTCCTTTCTTACTTTATTCTTTCAAAGAGAAACAAGTCAATTATATTGTTTGAAAATCATGCAGATTATTGTTTTGTCAGAGAAGAAAACAGCAACCAAGTTTTTCCAAGAAATCACATCGACTATTTTCTGCAGAAATAAGAAACTATGATGGAATGTCTCTAATGTTGCAATTGGAGATCCGTAGTTTTGCACCTTAGCAATCGCTTTGTATGATCCTGAATACCATTAGAGCTTCAAGAAAATCACTCTTTTGCCTTAATTTTAGCATTCCGTGAATCAAATTTCTAGGATGAAGCATGAAAGTGTTCAAATTTTCATGCGGACTTAGCACTCATGGAGCAGCTGTAAAGTAGCAATCCTGGCAGAAGAATGTATTCTTTTTAGCATAGCATTGAATTTGACCATAAAATTAGTTCAAATTTTTTGTCATGTAGCCAGCCAAATATCGAATTCTGATGGAAAATCTTGCCTTTCTCAGTGATATTATTATTTACATCTATTTCGGTTTTGTTACATTTTTTTTTTTTTTTATACTGCCTCTTCTGTCAAATTGTTAAAAGTTGGATTGCAATTTATTTTTTGTAAGTCTGACAGTGCTATCTTATGAAGCTGTTCATGAACATGTAATGCTGTAGGGGATAGGCATCAAGGAAAGAGTTATGCCTTTTTTGGCTTTGCTTAAAAGTGTTGTGAGGGAGGGAAGGTAGAAAAAAGCCTAAATTTAATGTTACATATTTTATGAACAGTCCTTTTCCAGAAATTCTGGTCATCTATCATCATTTTATCCTCTGCGCGATGCATTCATTACATCTTGAAATTCATGTGAAGTATTTAAATTTCCCTGGTAATTCATCAATAAAATCGGACAAAGATTAATTTTGGTTTAAAAATGCACAAAGATTGAGATTCTAATTTGTAAAATGTCCAAATGACTATTACACTAAAATTTTGAATGCACATTGACGAGGAGACTAAACAAATAATTTAATTGCAAAGACTGTCAATTTCAAGAAGCGGTAGCAACCCGGTCAAGCCTATGAGATCCCAGTGTTAGGCGATTCCAGCAAAAGATGGGATTGATGAAGTATTCTAAAATTAAATCTACATGTAACCAAATGGGTCGCAAACCGTCCAAAAAAAAAATTGGACAGCATCCAACTCCTCTAATGGCATGGTGGTTAGTCTCTCCAGGCGGTTTTTGTCCTCCAAGTAGGATGTCACGTCCTCTTCTGGGGCTTCGGTGCGTCTTTGGAAAGGGGTCCACGCCGTGGTGCCCGGGCTGGGCTGAAAACGGTCCTCAAAGATTGTTTTGATTTGCTCCCATGTTTGCTCATTTAAGGAAAAAATGCAGCGCATCATTAGTCTATCTTAATTAATGAACCAGCCTATGCATGCTAATGCATGGCATAATAAAAAATAAATCCTCATAGATTTAATGAGATGATGGAGTGTCAACTCCCTGATGGATTGTGGGAGGACCGAGTTTTGAGCGCCAGAGAGTGCTGTAAAAGTGACTCATATGTATAAGTTAAGTTTTTGCTAATAAAATAGCACGCCTAATCCAAGGATAACACACGGCGTTGCCGGCTTCACGTCAGCCCCCCCCCCCCTCTCCTGACACGCCAACTTTCTGACATTGTTCACTTTCTGTACTCAGTTCGCAGCGTCAATCTCGAAAGCTGACTTAGCCATCACCAAGCGGCAAACAACGTATTCCGCTATGCCAGGGGTTACAGGCATTTTAAGAGCTCTTGCACAGTGGTCTACCAGCTTTTGAAAAGGCATATGCTCTTTAAACGGCACCAATTTGAACAATCGGCCTTTGGCTGTCTCACTAAGTTTCTCCATTGCCCCAAATTGGCAATGGGGGGCAGCTTGCGAAACCGATCTCTGATGGCTACAAAAACATCAACTGCAGCATTGCAGTATGCATTTTCCTCCTGGATTTTAGTATATCCTCTAAAGTCTCAGTTGCCATGCACTCGAACTGACTAAACTCTTTCGCCTCAGGAATGATAAGATGAGGCGGCTCCCTCCGGGCTTTCAACCAATCTCTAAAGACCATATGTTCGCGGGTCATGTCCGGCTTGCCCATGATATAAATGGGCACATTTTCTCTGCGCAACTATGTAAACAGGGAGAGGACGGCGTCAAGGAGGTGGACGCTCTCAACATCACACTCCCAAGGTCGCGGCGCAAGGGGCAGATATTTTGCCACTGAATTGGCTCCCTTTCTGTATCTCTCATTGAGTGCGCTCAACTGGTCAGCAGCGCTTTGCAACAACTCGAAGTCAATTGCATCATTTAAGACGCTAAAAAAATATCACTCTCAGCCCCCTTACTATGCTGAAAGGTTGTATGTGCTATACTGAATTGCTGGGGGCGCCATCAAACAGGGAAGTCGTAGCTGCGTCCCTATCAACTCTGATGATAGAGCGTACAGAAGTGAGTGATTACCTCTTGGAGAGAATGAAGAGACTAGAAGTGGGATGACCAAGGGTTTATTTGTCCGGTGACAAACACGCTGTATACTAGATCAAAATGTCATAACTGGCACCTCGACACCTCAAATAAAACATGAACCAAACAATACATGATAATTTTGATAAGCATTGATGGTAGCTCCAAAACAAACATCCCTCTATACAGTATGCATCGTCTAATAAACAAACTTAGTCAAAATTGCTGATTTCGGGCAAGTCTAGGACTGTGATGTTCAGAGTTAGATTCACACACCAAGGCTTGGTGCAGTAGGCAGAGCTAGAGCAATGCACTACATGATCAGTGATGTAGTCAATATTTCTAGTCCAATATCGATGATTTTTACTACAAGCATCATTAACAGATAATAACTCAATTTGTAAAACCTTTGATATCTCCGGTCCAGCCATCATGGAGAAACAATGAGTGTCGTAAGTACGATTTAGGAAAAATGGGATTAAGGATCAAGGATCACAAACTAGATCTGATCCACAACTTTGACCAATCAAACCTATCGCGTGGTTAATATCGCAATTGAAGCCATTGCTGCCTATCAGAGAGCTCGTAACAATGAGGAAAAGTAGTAGTGAACCTCTTTTTTGGTTGTGGGCCATTTGTGGGTCGCAATGGTTTCATTTCCATGTTTTCATCATCTGATGTTTGGGATGATTCATCAGGTGATTCCTTGGTTTGATCCAAATCACTCTCTATGTCTTTTTTCCTTGTTTCTTTCCTCAGCTGCCTCCTAAGGATCTGAATGGGCCTACACAACAATCGGTAGATAAAAATTAATGACAAAGTTAATAACACTACTCCGTATGTGAAGAAAATGAGGCCGATCATTTGCAATGGCTTGTAACACGAATGATGGGCTCAAAAGGTACTGTATTTTTGGGAGTAATTTCGTATTTTGTGTCAGAATGGTTTACTATTGAAATTCTAGCCAAACCATTTTGGACACTAGTCAAACATACAGGGATTTCTACATTTTTATTTAATTTTATCTGAGGGATTACTATTTCTTGATCAGGAGAATTTATCAGTATGGATACTAGGGTTTCAGAAAAAGGTAATGACGTTATAGTATTCATATTAAGACTGGTTTCGTGAAAAAGTAATGGAATTTTCACGTGTCTAGCTTCTAATTCTTTACCTTCAAAATTTATTTTTATTTTTAACGCTTTTAGTATGTCCGTTCCTATCAAGCCGTCAAAAAATTTATGGAAATCATACAATAAAAAATTGAAATGACCTTTTTCTTTGAAGCGTGCAGGGATAGGTGCGTAAACGCATTTTTCGGAAACCTTAGAACCTAGGGGAGTACTTATTTCCATTTTTAAAGACCTCACAAGATTTGGAAATAATTTTCGCGCTAGATCGGGACGCAAAAATGAATTTGTAGCGCCACTATCGATCAGCATTTTGGCATAATGAAATTCAGGGAATATTATGTAAGGCAGTGTGTTTTTCGAAAAACTTAAGTTAAGTTCGGCCTTGGAGAGGCTTGTATTTGAAAAAACGGCACTGTTTCCATCTCCTCGGGAAGTTCCTCATAATATTCTTCGACTCCTGATTGGTCCGGTGATGAATTTTCTCCCGTCTCCACCTCCTCGTGTACATCGGTAACGTGGGTGTGGCTAATGCCGCTCATTGGCACAGGACGATTTGTGGGTGTATTATTGCTACCGCTAGCTATGGGACGTTGACCATACCCTTGGTTTTGGTCCCGATTAAAATTTGATTTTCCCTGACCGAATTTTTGGAAATTCGGTTTGTTTTGATAATTTGGTCTATTACCCTGATAATTTTGCGAATTTGAAGGAAAATTATTTTTTTGATAATTGTTGCCCTTTTGAAAGGGTTTGTTATTTTGTTTCTTCTGGTTGTTACTCGAATTTCCCGAAAAAGTTTCGGAAGAAATGGAGCCAGAAGTTTCGAATTGGAACTCATTTGTCATGAGATTCAAAGCCTCTGCAAGGGTCTTTGGATCTCGCGACTTTAGATATTGTCTCAGAGGATCTTTAAGTCCTCTTAAAAATACTTGCAATCCTAACTCGTGAATGAACTCTAAATGATCCACTCGATTGTGGTTATTCATGTAAGCTAACGTCAAATTCAATTGGTATGTAATTCTATTGTAAAAATCAATAGGTTTTTCGCCCGAATTCTGGGACATCCTGCAAAGTTCAATCGTAAGGGTCCGGTCTGTTTTTCGGTCTCCGTAAAATTCCCTTAGTTTCGCCTTGAGTATGTCCCAAGTGCTGTAATCACTATTACCTATTTGCACCTGAGCCTGACCCTTGATTTTTGCTAAAATTCCTCGCATTAAGCGGGAGTTTTGTACATGATTTGGATCTTCAGGAACACCAAAAGTAGTTACAAATTGATCGCATATTTTTATGAAAAGAGGCAAAAAGTTTGTCTCTCCTTTAAACTCTGGAATAGTGGCTAAATCAGCCGATTTGAGCTGAAGCCAACTTTGATTATTGCTTTGCTGTAAAGCCGTTACAGCTTGTTGCAGGCGAGCGAACTCCGCCGCAAACTGTTCTGCGTTCATGTTTTGAACTTCGGGGGCTTCTTGGTTTCTAAGTGGATCCCCCTCTCCACCAGAATCCCCGTCGTTATTTCCAAAATTAAAACGAGCAGGTCTTATTATGGACATAATTAAAATTTTTATTTTACCCTTTTTTTATAAATTTTAAATTGCAGAAAAAATTTTCTTTCAACAGAAAAATCCTAAAGTGCTACTTAAATTTCTTTAGAATTTTATGGCGAGGAATCGTATCCTTCATCGAACTCGTCTCGCATTACTCTAAGAAGAGTTTTTATGACAAAAAATTGTCCGAAATTGTTACGTCTCTCACTTAGAAATTGATGTAATTTGATTTTTATGAGTATACTGGATGTATCACTATACTCGTTCAGTAAAAACTCGTTTATTAGGGTTTGAGCTTCCTCAAATTCTAAGGTTTCTAAATTTACGCTTGAAGCTAACAAAACTAGATCCTTGGATATTTGACTGGCTCTATTTACCCATGAAAAGGACATTAGACCGTTCCCAGTATTTTCCAAGAGGAATCACTCCTGAAAAATGAAGTTTCCTATTTTGGATTCCCAATTATAATGTTCTATCGGTTCTGAAATGTTCGCCGGTGGTGGGTTCGCCGGCGGCAAGAGCCGCACCGTTTCGACGGAATCTGGTGCAGGAGACGGGCGGGGGAATCAATTAGTATGGGGCTTGGAGGTTGTGGTGAGGGAGCGGGGCCAAAGGGATATCCCCTCGGGTTACTCCCAGGTGAAACACCCGAGACGCAGGATGACGTTCGAGACACCCCCCTTGGGTATCAGCCTGTCGAGTTGCCTCAAGGAAGGGGGGGGGGTGTATTTGGCAGATAGGAGGAAGGCATAGAGAAAAAAAAGGAGGTGTTTGCATTTCGGGCATCTTGGAATTTTTTGATGACTTGATGACGTAGGTGGGTACAGCGACGTTTAGCGTGAA